CTACCAAGGGCCTTAATTTTAATGCTGGGCAAAAACATTATTCTTTAATGTTAAAAAGAAAATAACCTGTATATCCACATGTAAAAGAATTAAGTTGCTAAAATGAACTCAAATGCATGAAAGACTTAGATATATTTGATTCCATTGAAATTTAAAACTCCTGTGTAAAACATGACATAATGGACAGGGTGAAAAGAAAACAGACTCAGTGGGCCGGGCACGGTGGCTCACGCCTGTAATCCTACCACTTTGGGAGGCCAAGGTGGGTGGATCACCTGAGGTCAGGAGTTCAAGACCAGCCTGGCCATCATGGTGAAACCCCATCTTGGAGAAAAAAAAAAAAACAGACTCAATGGGAGAAAGTATTTGAAAACCACATAGCTGATAAGGAATATCTAGAATATGAGTCTTCAAAAGTTTCATGAAAAATGTATATTAAAAAATTAGCCAGGCACAGTAGCTCATGCCTATAATCCCAGCACTCTGGGAGGCTGAGGCAGGTGGATCACCTGTGGTCAGGAGTCGAGATAAGCCTGGCCAACACGGTGAAACCCCATCTCTACTGAAAAAACAAAAATTAGCCAGGCATGGTTATGGGCACCTGTAATCCCAGCTACTTGGGAGGCTAACGCAGAAGAATCACTTGAACTTGGGAAGCAGAGGTTGCAGTGAGCCAAGATCACACCACTGCACTCCAGTTTGGCAACAGACTGAGACTCCATCCAAAAAAAAAAAGGAAAAAATTATGTATGGATTTCAATTTTTTACATCAAAACTTGTTATAACATGTATGAACAGGACCTAGTTTGAGGCACTAAGAATGGCATCAGTTTGAAAACAGCTTCTATCAGAAGAATGTTAATTCAGCTAAAGTTGAAGGAAGAAATTCATCTTGTTCATTACCTAATTGAAGAAAACTGATGATTAATAGCAGAAACAATGACACCACAGACATCTGAATTGGTTCAGCTTACACAATTGTGATTGAAAAATTAAAGTTGTGTAAACTTTGCACTCAATGGGTGCCAACGCCACTGAATCCATATAAGCTGCAGACAAAAGAACCTTCAATGTAAATGTTAAACAAGCAGGATCAAGATGCTGAAGCATTTCTTTGAAGAACTGTACAAGAGATGAAGCATGGCTTTATCACAATCACAATCAAAGCAATAGCTACCAAGAGTCGGAGTGGTCCAGCCAAAGCAAAAGCAAACCAGTCAAGAGCAAAGGTCACAGCAAGTTTTTTGGGATGCTCAAAGTATTTTGCTTGTTGGCCTGCTAGATGGTGAAAGAACAATAACATCTGATTATGAGAGTTTGAGATGGAGTTTCACTCTTGTTGCCCAGGCTGGAGTGCAATGGCATGACCTCGGCTCACGGCAACCTCCATCTTCTGGGTTCAAGCGATTCTCCTGCCTCAGTCTTCTGAAGAGCTGGGATTACAGGCATGCGCCACCACGCCTGGCTAATTTTTGTATTTTTTAGTAGAGACAGCGTTTTTCCATGTTGGTCAGGCTGGTCTCAAACTTCTGACCTCAGGTGATCCGCCCACCTTGGCCTCCCAAAGTGCTGGGATTAAAGGCATAAGCCACAGCGCCCGGCCTGAGAGTTTTGAGGTTAGCTAACACTAGCAGAAAACCCCCGGGAAAACTTCACCAGGAATCCTTTTTCACTATAATGCTCCTGCTCATTCCTCTCATCAAATAACTGCAACTTTATGAGAATTTTGATGTAAAATCCTAAGGGATCCACCATACAGTGGATTTGGCTCCTTCTTTTTTTGTTTCCTACTTTTAAAAATTCTTTAAAGGCCATCCATTTCTCTTTAGTTAATATAAAAAAGCACTGCATACACAAGGTTAAATTCCCAGGAACCTCACTTCTTTAGAGATGGACTCAGCTTGGTATCAGTTAAACTGTCTTGAACTTGATGGAGCTTCTGTTGAGAAACAAAGCTTATGTTTTCTTTTTGTATCTTTCACTTTCATGTTTCTGAAGTTGCTACATGTACTAAAAAACTACATCTCAACAAAAGCCAAATAACCATAAAGAAGTAAAAAAAAAAAAATTAACAAATAACACCTCAACCCATTGGTACAGCTACTACTAAAAAAAAAAAAAAAAAATTATAAAAGTGTTGGCAAGGATGTGAGAAAGTATAACCCTTGCACTGTGGTGGGGGTATAAACTGATGCAGCTGCTATAAAAAATAGTCCTCAAAAAATTTAAAACAGAATTAACATAGGATGGGAACGTTGTGAGGGCAGAAATTAAAAAACAAAAAATATTTGTAAAATGAACATAGGAAGCACCAATTCTACTTCTGGGTAAATCCTCAAAAGGAATTTAAAGCACAGCCTCAAAGAAATGTTTGCACACTCATACTCATCTGCTATTAACAGCTAAGGAGTGGAAACAACCCTAACGAAAGGAAAAGTGGCATATACATATATAATCATGCACTGCACTTTTCAGTCAACAGTGGGCCACATGCATGACAGCAGTCCCACAAAATTATAATGAAGCTGAAAAATGCTTATCACCTAATGACATGATGGCAATGGTAAGGCAATATATTTTTCTTGAGAGTCTCACTGTCGCCAGGCTGGAGTGCACTGGCGCTATCTTGGCTTACTGAAATCTCCGCCTCCTGGGTTCAAGCGATTCTCCTGCCTCAGCCTCCCAAGTAGTTGGGACTACAGGCACCCACCACCATGCCCGGCTAATTTTTGTATTTTTAGTAGAGGGGATTTCACCATGTTGGCCAGGATGGTCTCGATCTCTTGACCTCATGATTCACCTGCTTCAGCCTCCCAAAGTGCTGGTATTACAGGCGTGAGCCAGTGTGCCCAGCCCCAAGGCAAAGTATTAATCACATGTTCATGGTGATGCTGTTATAAACAAACCTATTGTGCTGCCAGTCATATACAACTATAACATATACAATAATGTACAGTACATAATACTAGTTACTAGCTTATGTTCTTAGTATACTACACTTTTTATCATTAGGTGTTCTCCAACATTACAGTATATATGGAGTTGTGTGTATATACATACAAACACAAACTGTAAGACAGCCTCAGGCAGGTCCTTCAGGAAGTATTCCAAAAAAAGGAATTGTTATTTTAGGAGATGACAGCTCCATGTGTGTTATTGCCCCAGGAAACTTTCTGGATCAGGATGTGCGGGGTAAAGACAATGACATTATCCTGATCCTGTGGAGGCCTAGATGAATATGCATATCTTAGTTTTTTTTTTTGTTTTTTTTGTTTGTTTGTTTTTTTGAGACGGAGTTTCGCTCTTGTTACCCAGGCTGGAGTGCAATGGCGCGATCTCGGCTCACCGCAACCTCCGCCTCCTGGGTTCAGGCAATTCTCCTGCCTCAGCCTCCTGAGTAGCTGGGATTACAGGCACGCGCCACCATGCCCAGCTAATTTTTTGTATTTTTAGTAGAGACGGGGTTTCACCGTGTTGACCAGGATGGTCTCGATCTCTTGACCTTGTGATCCACCTGCCTCGGCCTCCCAAAGTGCTGGGATTACAGGCTTGAGCCACCGCGCCCGGCCTCATATCTTAGTTTTTAACAAAAATAAGTTTAAGAAGTTAGGATATAAAAAACATTTTTGTACAGTTATACAAAGTTTTAAGCAAAACATTACAAAATAGTCAAAAGTTTAAAAAAATACAAGCTCATAAAGTAAAAAAAAAAGGTCAGCTAATATATTAAAGAAAAAATATTCTATAATTTTGTCCAGCTGGGCACGATGGCTCATGCCTGTAATCCCAGCACTTTGGGAGGCCGAGGCAGGTGGCTCACTTGAGGTCAGGAGTTTGAGTCTAGCCTGGCCAACATAGTAAAACCCCATTCACTACTAAAAATACAAAAATTAGCTGGGTATGTAATCCCAGCTACTTGGGAAGCTGAGGCAGGAAAATCCCTTGAATCAGGAGGTGGAAGTTGCAGTGAGCCATGATTGTACGACTGCACTCCAGCCTGGGCAACAGAGCAAGATTCTGTCTGAAAAATAATAATACTTAGTGTTGTCTAAGTATACGGTACCTATACAGTCTACAGTACAGTAACATCCTAGGCCTTCACATTCAACCACCACTCATTGACTCACCTAAAGCAACTTTCAGTACTGTGAGCTCCATTCATGGTAAGTTCTCCATGTGGGTCTACCATTCTTTTTTCATATGGTATCTTTACTGTACCTTTTCTGTTTAGATATACTTAAAAACAATGACTTACCGTATGTTCCAACAGCCTACAGTATTCAGCACAGTAATATGCTGTACAAGTTTGTAGCAAGGTGCTATAGGGTATACCATACATCCTTGGCATTCACACAACTAAAAAAAAAAGATCACCAATTAACACTTTTCTCAGGACACTTCCCCATTGTCAACCAACACGTGACTGTAACAATTTTATTCAGCAGTTACAAAGGATAGAAATTCTAATGGATTATAGAACATGAAACCTTAAAAATGTTATGTTAAGCAAAATAAGCCACAATATAAATCACAAGACTTAAGTTTTCTTATATGAGGTACCTGGACTACTAAAATTCATACAGAGTGGTGCTTGTCAAATGGAGTGGGGAATAAGGTTTTAAAAGTATAGACTTAGTTTCCTAAGTTGAAAAGACTTCTAGATATTCATTGCACAATGTGAGTGACTTAACACTAGTGAACTATACACTTCAACATGGTTAAGATGTTAGATTTTATGTTATCTGTATTCTCAAAGAATACTTTTTTTTTTTTTTTTTTTTTTTTTTGAGATGGAGTCTTGCTGTCACCCAGGCTGGAGTGCAGTGGTGAAATCTTGGCTCACTGAAATCTCCACCTGCCAGGTTCAAACAATTCTGCCTCAGCCTCTCAAGTAGCTGAGATTGCAGGTATGCACCACCATGCCTAGCCAATTTTTAATATTTTTAGTACAGATGGGATTTCACCATGTTGGCCAGGCCAGTCTCGAACTCCTGACCTCATGATCCATCTGCCTTGGCCCCGCAAAGTGCTGGGATTACAGGCGTGAGGCACCGCGCCCAGCCAAGAATACTTTTTTAAAACACGTAGGTCCCAGGGCTAAATCAGAGCAGATTTCTGTGTGAAGTCTTTCCATATCTGCTTTATATATTACATACATTCGTTATCTGGTATGAACTTTCTGGTGCTGAATGAGGTGAGAATTTTGGTTAAAGCCTCTTCCACATTCACTGCAATGATAAGGTCTCTCTCCAGGGTGAACTCTCCGATGTTTAATGAGGCTAGAGTTGTATTTAAAGACTTTCCCACATTCACTGCACTCGTAAGGCTTTTCTCCTGTATGAACTCTCTGATGACTAACGAGTGTGAAACTGTCCATAAAAAATCTCCCACATTTGCTGCATTTATAAGTTCTTTCCCTAGTGTGAACTTTTTGGTGCCGAATGAGGTGGGAATTTTGGCTAAAAACTCTTCCACATTCAGTGCACTCAAAAGACCTTTTTCCAAAGTGATTTTTCCAGTGTCTAAGATGATTTGAGTTATGCCTAAATAATTTTCCACATTCACTACACTCGTAAGGCCTTTCACCAGTGTGAATTCTCTGATGTGCATCAAGTGTGGAGCGACACCTGAAGGATTTTCCACAAATGCTGCATTCGAAAGGTTTTTCTCCAGTGTGAATTCTCTGATGACTCTTCAGTGAACAGCTGTCCACAAAGAATTTGCCACATTCACTGCATTCGTAACGCCTCTCTCCAGAGTGAATTCTCTGATGTCTATTCCGTGTAAAGCAGTACCTAAAGCACTTCCCACATTCACTGCATTCATAAGGCTTTTCTCTAGTGTGAACTCTCTGATGAATAATGAGTGTGGAAATGTCCATAAAAAATTTCCCACATTCACTACACTCATAAGGCTTCTCTCCAGTGTGAACTTTCTGATGTCTAATGAGTGTGGAACGGTATCTAAAGAATTTCCCACATTCGTTGCATTCGTAAGGCTTTTCTCCAGTGTGAACTCTCTGGTGAACAATGAGTGTGCAGCGGTCCAAAAAGAATTTCCCACATTCACAACAATAAAAAGGCCTTTCTCCAGTGTGAACCTTCTGATGTCTAATGAGTGCAGAATTGTACATGAAAAATTTTCCACATTCATTGCATCCATAAGGTCGTTCTCCAGTATGAATTTGCTGGTGACAAACAAGGTGAGCCCGTGTAAAGAAAGCCTTCCCACATTCACTACACCCATAAGGCCTTGGCCTGGTGTGAATCCTCTGGTGCTGAAGTAGGTGAGACTTTTTAAGGAAGGCTTTCCCACATTCACTGCACTCATAAGGCCTTTCTACAGGCCTTATGTGAATTTTCTGGTGTTGAACAACGTTATACTTGAGTCTGAAGGCTTTTCCACATTCACTACACTTATAAGGCCTTTCTCCACTATGAGTTCGCTGATGTTTATTAAGGTCTGAGTTGTACCTAAACAATTTGCCACATTCACTGCACTCATAAGGCCTTTCCTCTGTATGGATTTTCTGGTGCTCAAACAGCATATGTTGGTGGCAAAAGTCTTTCCTACATTGGCTGCAGCTGTAATCATTCTGTCCACTTTCAAAGGCCTCCACACCATGAGTGTCCCTGTGTGGCTTCCACCCATTGTGAAGAGCCTGTTGTTGAAGATCTGAATCAGCAGTAAAATCCTTGCCACCCTGCATGCATGTGAAGTTCCTCTCTGCCACATGAACACCATCATTCACAAATGAAGGCCTCTCTTCATCACTACTGGTGAGCTTCTCTCTAAGATGCTCCTTTTGGTGCAGGTAAAGCTTGGCTGCACACCTGTACAGCCCTTGCTTGAGGTGTGTTCCGTCATGCTCAGCCAGGTGTAGAATGTCCTTCAGAAGTGAGCTACATGTCTCACAGGACTGGGCCTTCTGGGTGGACAACGCTGGCTTTAGAGTTGTGACCTGTGACACTCCCACAGAAACATATTGCTTGGAAGGTGCCTCCTCATCCCTGGCTCCATGCCAACAACCTAAGGACAGAAATGCTGGTGAAGTGTACGTTGACTTTGGATGGGGAAGGCAGCCCCATCACAAATCACAGATGTCTATCAGACCAACTCACAAGACCACGGGATTGGTGACAAGCATGGACACTAAAGCCAGTGAGAGGAAGGCCTACTGGGCAGAACTGGCCTGACAGGAACTCATAATGAAACAGTCCTGATGATGGGGAACAACATAGGGAGTGGTACAGTGCAGAGCACAGAGTCCCCCAGTAATGGTAAATGGTTTTCAACAGGCCATAGCTGCTGGTGAGCAATATGTAGAAGGCTGTGTCCAGACCAAGAGAGATCCGATGTGACAGTGGAGCTGGTGTTCAGGGACTACTGAAGTATACATGCAGACCTCACAACACCTTAAATACAGGTCATATGTTGGAGGGCACTAAAAAGGAAGCAGCAAAAGGGAACAGGTGGCTGGGTGCAGTGGCTCACACCTGTAATCCCAGCACTTTGGGAGGCCGAGGTGGGTGGATCACCTGAGGTCGGGAGTTCGAGACCAGCCTGACCAATATGGAGAAACTCCGTCTCTACTAAAAATACAAAATTAGCTGGGCGTGGTGGCGCATGCCTGTAATCCCAGCTACTTGGGATGCTGAGGCAGGAGAATACCTTGAACCCAGGAGACAGAGGTTGCAGTGAGCCACTGCACTCCAGCCTGGACAAGAGCGAAACTCCATCTAAAAAAAAAAAAAAAAAAAAAAAAAACGTGAGAGGTAGAGGTCAGAGAGGTAGGGTTAGAGGTGGGAGCCAGAAGATGAAAGTCAATAAAGAAATCACAATAGGAAAGAAAGAGACATGTGGTGTGGTCACTGGTAGGGGCCTCAAACTGGATCAATTCCCAGTGTGATATGGACCCAGCCCTGTCATCATACCCCTTCTGAGCTACCACCCACCAGGGCCAAGTCCCTTTGAGCATCTCTTGCCATCAATGGAGTAATATCCACTCTGTCAGGACTTCTATCTTGCTCAAGGTAAGCAACTACCTAGGTGTGGCATTAGCCAAGCTAGGGGTAAAGACAGGGAAAGGGAGGAGACAGCTTATACACAGAACAATAAACCCAGGACATGCTACATTCTAAAGTTACCAGAACTTCTAGTGGAAAGTCCTGCAGCAATAAGTCCACAGTCCTCACAAGCAGTGACAAGGTCAAATCCCTGAAATTCCTGACACGGGGTATCCCTCAGGTGTGTCAGCAAGAAGAATGGAGAAAGTCTTGTACAGACAGGGGTTTCGTGCATTTGGACAAAGTAAACTAACCAGGGGCAGGCAAGGTCTTTAAGATATTCTAGAGAAACCTGAAGACTTCTGACTTGAGCCTTATCTTATAAGGCTTCAGAGTGACAAGAGCTAAGCTTTTTAAGGAAAACTGATACAGATCACACAGCCCAGCTGTGGCTCCCACAACACGTATGCCAGAAAACAAGGAGAGAATGCAGCATCCATGATCTGGTGGGAGACAGATCTGGTGTGAGACAGATCTGCCAAGGAAAAAAGTGAAAAACCATTGCCCAGCACAAGACACTGACATAGGTGTCAGGGCCTTACCTACTGATGACAAAAGTGCAAAGTTCTCCAGCATCACATCGCTGTGCAGGTGTCTCTGAACGTCATTAAGAATCCCCCACTCCTCCTGGGAGAAATGTATGGCCACGTCCTCAAAAACCATACAATCCTGCCAAAATTATGACAGTTTAGTCCATGAGCAACTTCTTTTTTTATTTTTTTTTTGAGATGTTGTCTCACTCTGTTGCCCAGGCTGGAGTGTAGTGGTGTGATCTTGGCTTACTGCAATCTCTGCCTCCTGGGTTCAAGTGATTCTCCTGCTTTAGCCTCCTGAGTAGCTGGGATTACAGGGGTGCACCACCACTCCTGGCTGATTTTTGTATTTTTAGTACAGACAGGGTTTCACCATGTTGGTCTCAAACTCCTGACCTCGTGATCCGTCCGCCTCAGCCTCCCAAAGTGCTGGGATTACAGGCGTGAGCCACCACTCCAGGCCCATGAGCAACTTCTTATTCTGTTTCCTTAGATGTGTATTTATCTACTTGAAATCTAAGAATTAGAGGACCAAAATAACAACCAGTGTTTTAACATTTCCCTTACAATCCAGATCCGACAGTCTGAACTTCCTCCTATTATTTCTCCTGCCCTAAATCAACATAAGGCTTGTACTACACAAGGAGGGATAGTCTCTATGCCCCAACCCTGCCAAAATCATGCAAACCACTCAGTCTTAAGCTCTTCACTCTGCACTGCATGCCTTTCCAGCCAAAACCCCAATAAAGCCTCTGATGTATGCTCTCCCTTCAACTGTGCATCTGCCTCCTGACCAAATCTGCTATTTCCTCTGTGGCTTTATGTGGTATGGCATACCCCCTCCACTCAGGAAATGAAAGGAATAAAAATTATTTCATCCAGGTATGATCTCTCGCCAATCGAAAAAAAAAAAAATATTTCAATGCCATTAGCTTTTCTGTCATCACTCACTCTTGTCCATAGATTGAAATCCTGTGGGTACAATCACTGATACACTTTCCTCTCCAGGATCTTCAGTGCTCCTCACCACACCCACATACATCCACCCCCTGCTCAGCCTCCACCTGCTTCTCAAGGAGGAAGACACCAGGTCCTCGTGGCACCTGTACCTGCTCTCCCCTCACTGCCACTGATCACTGACTCCAAGTACAGAACAAAGATGGGTTGGGGAAGAGTCTGAAAAGCACCACCAAAACCTGGCACATGGAGGCCTACCTTTCTTTTGTCACTCAATTTCCCTAGAGTCCCCCAGATCTTGCCTCTCACTGAACCAAACATGGACTCAACCTCCTCCCTTAAGTGCCCAGTGCCAGGGCTGGGACCATCTATTCATGTTCCTCCACTCACACTTTGGAAGGCACCTCCCTCATGTATCCAACACCTCCATTCTTGCAACACTAACAACCACCACAGCTCAATCAGGACTATTTCCATGGCCTCTCACCATGCCGCTCTGCACACAGAATCCTGCAGTGCATGACAAATGTAACCAGAATCCTATGTTCCCCTGGACTGACCAGAATGCAATGTTTAGGAAACACTGCCTTGAAGGTCCCCCAGCCCAATCCTGTTTCTTGCTTTAACCTCAGCTTCCCAAACCTACACACTCTTGCACATCTCCTTTGAGTTCCAAATCTTGGCTGTTTCTCCCTTCTACATGTGCATGCTATCCCATAAGCAGTCACAACTTTATCCTCGTAACTCTAATCCAAAGCCCAGATACACTGACTTCCCCAACACCATCCCCAACCCAGGCCTAGCAATGCTTCTAGCTGATCCCATCTTCTGCCAAAATAGTCTCAGAATTCGCACGAAACTATCCAGGTCCAACCAAGACTTGACACAAAACCCTGCTGAGTCCATAACAGAGTAATAAGCCCCTCCCAAACCTCACTACCATCTCATCTCTTTTGTGGAGATACCTCACCATCCATTTTATGTACACTCTCCCCTTAAAAAGCCTTTCTGTTCTCCAAAGACCATCCCCAACATAAACACACAAATACACACACACGTATCCTTAGTCCATCCACTCCCTCATCTGTCTTGGTGACACTGACACCATGCAGGTGCCCTACAGAAAGATCCAGTCCTCAGCCTCTTCCTTCTCCTTCCTTTTCCCTAATGGCATTGCCTCCAGAATATAAAGATGTCTCTTCCTAAATCTGACCCACATATTTACAATGGTGCACACACCAGCTATCATGCAGTAGATGTCTCCATCCTGAACAACTCCAATGGATTACATTCCTGTGTGTTCAACTGCCAGTCTGGCACCTCTAATCAAGTCTCTGTAACATTTTTGACTTGGCCCAAACCTTGTTCTTCATATGCTCTATTAAACTCCCCCTACTACAGAATTTACCACATCTTAGTTGCTGGAACATCCATCCTTCTCAACAAGGTCAAAACTATGGGGTCATTCCTGACTCCCTCTTGCATCCCACCTTCCCAGCTTCCTCACTCTGTACATCAAAAAAATGTGAGCAGCTCTAGATTAAAACCTACAGAAGCCACCCATGCCTCCCACCTTCACAGCCGCCACTCTGTCCAGCCACCACCAACCTCCACAGGACTGTGGTAGGAACTATCACCCAGGTATCCTTGGTTCTTCCCCAATCCTCACTCTGTCCTCCATTCTGCAGGCAGAGGAAGCACCTTAGAATCTGAGTCAAATCACCTTTTTTTCCTTTCTCAAACCTTCCCTAGCTACTACCCCTCTCAGATTAAAGACCTAGAATTGCCAGACATAGTGGCTCACACCTGTAATCCCAGCACTTTGGGAGGCTGAGGCAGGCAGATTGCTTGAGGTCAGGAGTTTGACACCAGCCTGACCAACATGGTGAAACCCTGTCTCCACTAAAAATACAAAAATTAGCTGGGTGTGGTGGCTCATGCCTGTAATCCTAGCTACTCAGGAGGCCGAGAGATGAGAATTGCTTGAACCTGGGAGGTGGAGGCTGCAGTGATCTGAGATCATACCAATGCATTCCAGCCTGGGCAGAGTGAGACTGTCTCAAAAAAACAAAACAAAAACAAAAACAAAAAACCCCTGGAACCTCAGGCTGCCATTCCATGCCTGATCCCTGCATGCCCCAACCTCCTGCCCTTCGGCTGTGCACCACCTTATCCTTGCCAGCTAGAACATTAAGTTACAATTCTCCCAGCATCCCATCTAAGTCTCACCACCAAGCATTTGAACATTCTGGATCCTGTGTTTGAGATGTTACGCCAAATCTCAGATCATCAGTTCTAAGAACTAGAACCACTCTATATAATCAGGGACTGAGTTTGGAACCCAGGTCTGGTGGAATTACAGGCTCTCTTTGGATCCGAGGGAGAAAGAAGAAAAGGTGATCAGTCTCAGGACAACACCATTCCCTATATCAGCATGCTGAAGCCGGCTGAGATGGGTGAAAGCTGGAAACTCTCCACTCACCTGTCCAGCATCCATAAACATTGCTGCCACTGCTATGAACCCTGTGGGAAGAGACAGGCCATGAGGATTAAGACAGCAATGCAGCATCCTACAGGCTGAACTGTACAACCACCTGTGGTCCTGCAACTAGAGCAAAGTTATCTGAGGCTACACAGTAAGTCCTCAGGGTTCAGTGTCTTGACCAGGACTGAAGTTTCCTAAGTCTCAGTACCCTCATGAGTAAAATGGACATTAAAAGGATTGCCAACTAAGAGGGCTCATATTGGCAACAAACATAAGTAGTACACACTATATATCAGCAATTTATTTCTACTGGATTAACTATTTTATAAATGTTTTCAGCACAAATGACATGGAAGGGTTTTGAAATTTTGGGTGTGTATTTTTCCCACTTCTTACAGTGTCAAGGAAATGTGATACATAAAACTTTCCACTGCAAGCAAATAGAAAAATTAACATTCAGCTGGGCGCGGTGGCTCATGCCTGTAATCCCAGCACTTTGGGAGGCCAAGGTGGGTTGAGAATGAGGTCAGGAGACAGAGACCACCCTGGTCAACATGGTGAAGCCCCGTCTCTGCTAAAAATACAAAAATTAGGTGGCGCATGCCTGTAATCCCAACTACTCAGGAGGCTGAGGCAGGAGAATTGCTTGAACCCAGGAGGCAGAGGTTTCACTGAGCCAAGATCGTGCCACTGCACTCCAGCCTGGCAACAGAGCAAGACTCTGTCTCAAAAAAAAGAGAAAAAAGAAAAATTAACATTCAAACAATTATTAAGTGAATAAATTTAACTACTGGTTATATTCATTTCTGGTTTTTTTTTTTTTTTGAGACGGAGTTTCGCTCTTGTTACCCAGGCTGGAGTGCAATGGCGCGATCTCGGTTCACCGCAACCTCCGCCTCCCGGGTTCAGGCAATTCTCCTCCCCCAGTCTCCTGAGTCGCTGGGATTACAGGCACGCGCCACCATGCCCAGCTAATTTTTTGTATTTTTAGTAGAGACGGGGTTTCACCATGTTGACCAGGATGGTCTCGATCTCTTGACCTCGTGATCCACCCGCCTCGGCCTCCCACAGTGCTGGGATTACAGGCTTGAGCCACCGCGCCCGGCGGTTATATTCATTTTTAACTGCTGACTTACGTGCACATATTTATAAGCATATTGGTTCATTCCTGGTTAAATAAATGTTTTATACATTCATAAGTAAATAAGTTGTAGGGAGGAGACAAGCGGACAGGTTAGTTACTGGTCCCATCAGCAACCAGGCCTGCCTGCTACAACTTCTGTTGCTGGAATTTTGCTGGAGGCCCTTGACTGGATGTGACAAAGCCCTACCCAGGTTTGGACCCAATTTCCCCATTAGTCTGGATGACCTTCTTATTGATCCAAAGAGTGGGCCTGAGGGTCTGCTGGGTCTGCAGGTGCAGAATCGAAACCATCTCACATCTCAGTCTCCAGTCTAGGCCAGTTCCTTAATCCATTCAGGACTCGTTTTTGCAGCCACAGACCAGAATCCTTCCTATGACATGTCTGTGCCTTTCTAAAGTGACTGTCAGGTTTATGCACCCATCTATCACCTGCCCTCCAAAACTCAGCCCTCCAAAATGCAACTTGTAATCCTCTCTGAAACCTGCTCCTTAAGCTGACTTCTCCAACTCCATTCTTTCAGATTTTCAAGCCAAAACAAAGCCCATGGAATAGACCCTTCACTACCCTCATAGCTATATTTGATGCAGCAGAAAATCCTGTCGACTCTTATTTCTGAGATCCAACCAGAATCTCACCACATCTCCCCTTTACTGCAACCACTATGGCCCAGCCCTACCGTAACTCAAGGGGTCTCCTCAGAGGTCCCCTTGTCCTGGTTTAACAACCTCTTTTCGGCCGGGCGCGGTGGCTCACGCCTGTAATCCCAGCACTTTGGGAGGCCAAGGCGGGTGAATCACGAGGTCAGGAGTTCGAGACCAGCCTGGCCAAGATGGTGAAATCCCCGTCTCTACTAAAAAATACAAAAATTAGCCGGGTGTGGTGGCGGGCACCTGTAATACCAGCTACACGGAAAGCTGAGGCAAGGGAATCGCTTGAACCTGGGAGGTGGAGGCTGCAGTGAGCCGGGATCGCACGACTGCACTCTAGCCAGGTAGACAGAGCAAGACTCCGCCTCAAAAAAAAAAAAAAATCCTGCTTTCTTCAACTACAAACGTCTACCTCTGTGCATAAACCTTCCTGCACAGCCTTCTCTGGCTTTCAGCGGCTCCGCTGCCCTCCCAGGAGAGACTCCGCCTCACCCTCTGCTCCGTGGGGACAAAGACGATGGGGCTCCCCAGTGCCGCCCGCTCTGCAGTTCCTCCAAGCCTCGCACGTGCCGGTCCCGGACCGGAGGTACCCCACCTCAAAGCACCGTGGACACCGGTACCCCACACAAGAACGCCCCTCTTTTTGGGATACAGGGGCGTGATCTGAAGGGCCCCTCCTCCGGACTTCAACACTCGGAGGAGGGGTCGGGCGGGGCGCTCTGGGACGCCGCACTCACCTCAATCAGGTTCATCCGCTCGGCCTCCCCCAGCACAGCCAGGGAGGAGCGGGGAGGGAGCGGCGGCGACCTGGGAGCTGACGGACGCCACAGGCGCCCGCAACCGATTCAGCCGAGCCTCACTCTAGTCTCTGTACAACGGGGGAACCTTTTCTGGCGTCTTTTCGCTCTTTCACGACAGGCTCCACTCAGCCGAAAAGGGTGAACGGGTCCCAACGCAACCATATTTATGTCCGCACGGGGGCGTTGCAGGAAGTCCCGCCCTCACGCATTGAGAACCCATGGAGACGTCTCTCCGCTGTGACTTCATTGGCTATACTCGCTGCTTGTGTCCGCCGCAGTGTCTTCTGGGTCATGTAGTTACCAGGCTGCTGCCTGCCCCGCCTCTGAACCTAAGTAATTAGCCTTCTGTTTGAAAGCCAGGAGGGTCCTCCAGAGGCGTTGAGAAATGCAGTTCCGGGGCTCCAAGGAAGTGGAGGGGCTTCACTGGCATTTGAACGGCAAGTATCCAGATTTTCCCGGAAGACAGTCTAGAAATGTCAGAGAAATGTTTCAGAGACCTGTCCTTTCAGATTCTGTAAACCACATCAAGTTCCCAAAGGACGAACACCCGAAGGAACACGGGCATCCGTAATGAACTGGTCTTCCACGCATAGCGATCAGCTCTTTTGTGCTTGGCAAATACACACAGACCGAAGCTCTGGAGACCGTTTTGTGATCTTCAATATGTTCTACTGAGACAAGAAAAGACCCAAACGTGGCATGATGGGGAGTTTGAGGAGAAATATCTTTCCTTTCTGAATAATCAGTGATTGTCTTTCAGCCTACCCAGCAACACTTTATTCACATGATACTTATTACTTCATATCTGAGATATTTTCCACTTAAGAAACTGAAACCTAACTGAAAAGGAAAAGCGACTTATGTATCATTATCTGCCAGGATAGTGTGTGGCCTTCTACCAGTCAAACCCTTGAGATAAAGGTTTGGGAATGCATGATCTCATCTACTTACTGGAAAGTGATTTATCATTTCACCTGAAATTGTATCAACAGTATCTGCACAGTGAGTTGAAATTGTCTCTGAATAACTCTTGTGAAATGGCTATTACTGAAACTATTAATGATGATTATGTAGTTAGCCAAAGAGTGGTTGCAGTGGGCTCTGTAGGCCAGCCACTAGACCCAGAAGAGTATGGCATCACTGCCTCATCACCATCACGGCTGCCACACCAGCAGCCCAGGGATTCAAGGATGCACTCACATGCTTGGTACACTGCTATCACAACCAGCATCTAAGAGAGCCAGTAAGAAGCCCAAGAATCAGCCTGCTTGGAACTGCCAACACAGGTACCAATATTCACCACCACAAAGCACAAGGATAGACATACTTAGCTCACCACCAGTACTGCTGAAGCCTGAAGATAAGCTCATCTGGCATTCCTGTTCCCAGCACAACTTTACCAAAACCTCCACTAATAACTAACAGTGTGCACCCTAACACACTTGAGAAAACCACATGAACTGTTTATAGCCAAGGAAATCATACAAAAACTTTACTGCTGAATGCACTCAGAAGTAAAGCTGGCCGGGCACGGTGGCTCACGCCTGTAATCCCAGCACTTTGGGAGGCCGAGGCGGGTGGATCACGAGATCAAGAGATTGAGACCATCCTGGTCAACATGGTGAAACCCCGTCTCTACTAAAAAATACAAAAAATTAGCTGGGCATGGTGGCTCCTGCCTGTAATCCAGGCTACTCAGGAGGCTGAGGCAGGAGAATTGCCTGAACCCAGGAGGCGGAGGTTGCGGTGAGCCGAGATGGCGCCATTGCACTCCAGCCTGGGTAACAAGAGCGAAACTCCGTCTCAAAAAAAAAAAAAAGAAGTAAAGCTAAAGTGCCCTACTCAATTAAGACCATTGATACATCTTCAAAACCTCCACAAACAAAAGTAAATTCAAAAAAGATAAACTATTATACTACACATGCAAAAAAATCAATGTAAAAACACAGGAAACATAGAAAAGCAAGAAACCATGACACTCCCCCAAAATTACAATATTTTTTCAGCAATAGATCTTAACCAAAGAAAAAAACCCCAAATTCTCACCATACCAGATAAAGAATTGAAAACGTTGATTTTAAAGAAGCTCAACATGACACAAGAGAAATATGAAAACCAATGCAAAGAACTCAGATAAATAATTCAAGATTTGCTTCCTGTCACATGGGGCAGCTGTCTGGGGCTGGTGGAAGGTGGGACAATGTTACAGCTCCTTTCACAACTTACCATTTGGTGGTTTCTGGGTTCTTGTCCCATGACCAAAAGGAATGACATTTTGTAAACACTAGAGAATGAGAAAGGCAAGTGACTTTATTGAGTGGCAGAAAAGCTCTCAACAGGAGGGGAACCAAAAGTGGGTAGCCCAATGTGTGGGTGGGTCCAGGGTTTTTATGGGCTCAGAATGGGGGCTGCGTACTGATTGGTCCATGGGTGGGCCTGAAAAAAGCACCATTCAATTGGCTAAAAGGCATGGAGAAGTTCTTACTCCAGTCATGGACCCTACTTGGAAATGGCAGCCAGTTTTCAGGCTTTAAACAGTCTTTGGCTTAAAGTTTGGGTTTCACCAGGGACCTGTCCTTAGTCTGCCTAGGAATTTATCTGCCTCCTACCACTATCAGTGAAATAACCAATACTTTATCCTGATGAAAGGAAATTTCTGCAATCTGCCTGCCAAAGCCAGTCCATGTCTTCAGTGCAAGGCTGATGTCTATGCCCAAATCATTCATAGGAGAGGAGGTGAGGCTCCCAAAATGAATTCTTCAAATAGAGAATTTTTCAAATAGAGAATTCATGATGCCATAACTGCATTTTAATGTGACTAAAGTGCTACACACCATGAGTTTTTGCCAGTTGGTAGAAAAGAGATGACTTTTTTTTTTTTTTTTTTTTAGACAGAGTCTCACTGTGTCACCAGGCGCCAGGCTGGAGTGCAGTAGTGAGATCTCGGCTCACTGCAACCTCCACCTCCTGGGTTCAAGCAATTCTTCTGCCTCAGCCTTCCAAGTAGCTGAAACTACAGGCGCATGCCACCACACCCAGCTAATTTTTTGTATTTTTTACTAGAGATGGGGTTTCACCATGTTGGCCTGGATGGTCTCAATCTCTTGACCTCGTGATCCGCCCACCTCGGCCTCCCAAAGTGCTGGGATTACAGGTGTAAGCCACTGTGCCCGGCCAAGAGACGACTTTTTAAATAGGGTTGACAGGGGCATAACTCTGGCAAAGGCCCCAGACAAGTTGAAAAGTGCAACACAGCTCACAAAATCTTCTCATATATCCAGCAGTATAGATATATGGTGGATATCCCTAGTGTGGATATCCCCAGTGTGGATATTTAGATGTATGAGGTTCAATTGCTGGCTCTCTCCCTAAAAAGCTAATATCCAAAGCATTGCTCTACCGAGTTATTATGTTAACAAGAAATGATCACACTGCCTTCCCTTCTTTTCCTAGAGTGAACTTGCTGGCATGGAATGAGGTTAGGCTAATGGCTAAAGACTTTCCAACTCTTAATACCTTTCTGGGTTCTCTGATAGCAAGAAACAACCTAATGTCACTTGGATAAATAAAAAGCAGAACTATTTATTACCTATAGCTAAAAATGAGAGAACCTGGATAGGGTCCCACAGAGGGTTGCATCTGAGACAGAGTAACAGCAACCTGAGGCTGCAGGGGACAACTTAGGTAAGACAAGTGGATTGCATTAGCTATGTTTTCCATGCTCCCCATGGATTGGCTAATTTGAATAATTTCAGCTGGAATATAGCAGTCTGGAGTGTGAAAGCCCACTAGCCTTGTCCTCAAAACTGAGTCTCACACACACCTAAAATGTGTGGTACTGACATAAAGACAGACATATGACCAACAGAATGGAGAATCCACATATAAACCACGGCATATATAGACAAATGATCTTGACAAGTGCCAAGACTACTCAACAGAGGAAAGATTTTTTTCAACAAATAGTGCTTGGAAAACTGGATAGCCACATTAAGTGGACTTCTGCCTTAAGCCACATGCAAAAATGAACCCCACATAGATTAAAGATCTAAATGTAGCCAGAATCTAAATGCCAAGATTAAAGATCTAAATGTAGCCAGGCACAGTGCATTACAGCTCATGCCTGTAATCCCAGCACTTTGGGAGGCCAAGGCAGGCGGAACACTTAATTAAGGCCGGAAGTTTAAGACCAGCCTGGCCAACATGGCAAAAACCCATCTCTACTAAAAATACAAACTAGCCAGTTGTGGTGGCACACATTTGTAATTCCAGCTACTTGGGAGGCTGAGGTGGGACAATGGCTTGAACTTGGGAGGCGGAGATTGCAGTGAGTTGAGATTGAACCACTGCACTCCAACCCGGGTGACAGAGCAAGACTCTGTCTCAAAAAGAAAAAACAAAAACAAAAACACAAGCCCTAAATGTAAGACCTACAAATATAAAATTCTTAGAATAAAACATATGGAAAATACTTCGCATTGGATTTGATGCTTTTTTTTTTTTTTTTTAATATATATATAACATCAAAAGCCCAGGTAACAGAGGTAAATATAGGTAAACTGGATTACAGTCACCCCTTGGAGTCTGTGGGGGACTGATTCCAGGACCCCTGTGGATACCAAAATCATCTGATGCTCAAGAGGTTCCTCACATATATGCACAGTGTTTGCATATAACCTACACACATCTTCCCATGTAATACTTTAGATTATCTCTAGGTTATTTATAACACCGAATACAATGTAAATGCTATGTAAATATTTATTATACTATATGATTTAGGGAATAATGACAAGAAAAAATGTCTGTTCATGTTTAGTACAGATGCAACTACCCTTTTTGTTTTCTGAATATTTGTGATTAATGATCAGTACAATCCATGGATGCTCCAAATACTTTTGATCTGTGGTTGGTTTGATGCATGAATACAGAATCCAAAGACACAGAGTCAAAAGTACATCAAAATTTAAACTTTCATCAAAGGACACAATCAACAGAGCAAAAAAACAACCTATGGACTGGGAGGTAATATGTAAAAAGCATATATTTGTTAAGGAGTTAATATCCAGAATATATAAAGAATTTCTATAACTCAAAAACAAAAAGCAAATAATCCCATTAAAATGAAAAAAAAAAAAAAGACTTGAATATTTTTCGAGATACACAAATGCCTAACAAGCACATGAAAAGATGATCAACATCATTAATCATTCACAAAATAAAAATGAAAGACACTGAGATTCCACCTCGCATCCAACAGGATACCTGCTATCCAAAACAAAAGGCACAACAAAAAATCCCAAAGAACAGAAATAGAAAATGAACAATGTTGGTGAGGATGTATACAGATTGTAATCCTTGTGCACTGCTAGTGGGAATGTAAAATGCCACAGGTACTATGGAATAAGTTTTCTCAAAAATATTAAAAATAGAAATTCTGTAAGATCCAGCACCACCATTTTGGAGTATAAACCCAACAAGAATCAAAAGTAGAATCTTGAATAGACACTTGTATACTCATCTTCATAGCAGCATTATTTCAAAAGATGAAAGTAACCCAAGCATCCATTAACAGATGAATGGATAAATAAAAGGAGTATATACATACCATAGAATATTATTTCACCTAAAAAGGAAGGATATTCTGACACATTATACAACATGGGTGAACCATGAAGACCTTATCCTAAGTGAAATAAGCCAGTCTCAAAAGACAAATACTGTATGAATCCACCTATATGAGGTACCAATAGATATCAAATTCATAGATACAGAGTATAGACATATAGTTGAGACATTTCTGGGGACAGTAGGAAAGGGGAATGAGTTGTTTCTAATAGATACAGCATTTTACTTTTTTTGCAAGAGGAAAAATGTTCTGGAGATTAGTTACATAAAAAGGTGGAATTTATGTAACATTACTACCCAATTACAATGGTCAATGGTAAACTTTCTCCATTGTGAAATCTCTGATGTTTAATGAGGTTGGAGTTGCAGCTGAAGAATTCCCCACATTCATGGAGCACATAAGCCTCTCTTCACTGTGGATTTTCTGGTGATGAACCAGGTGAGATTTTCTAATAAAGGCCTTCTGGCATTCGCTACACTCATAAGGTCTTTCTCCACTGTGGATTTTCTCGTGCTCAACAAGTATATGCTTGTGGCTAAAGGCTTTACCACACTCTCTGCACTCATAAGGCCTTTCTCCAGTGTGATTTCTCCAATGTTTAATGAGGTTGGAGTTGTAACGAAAGAATTTCCCACATTCGCTGCACTCATAAGGCCTTTCTCCCGTATGGACTCTCTGGTGTCTAATGAGTCTGCAGTGGTACCTAAATGATTTCCCACATTCACTGCATTTATAAGGCCTCTCTCCAGTGTGATTTCTCCAATGTTTAACGAGGCTGGAGTTGTACCTAAACAATTCCCCACACACACTGCACTCATAAGGCCTTTCTCCAGTGTGAATTCTCTGATGTCTAATGAGTGTGGAGATATACCTAAAAAATTTCCCACAATCATTGCATTTATAAGGTCTTTCTCCAGTGTGAACTCTCTGATGTTTAATGAGTGTGGAGCTGTCCATAAAGAATTTCCCACATTCCCTGCACTCATATGGCCTTTCTCCAGTGTGAACTCTCTGATGTCTAACGAATGTAGAGCTGTACCGAAAGAATTTCCCACATGTGTTGCACTCATAAGGCCTTTCTCCAGTGTGAACTCTCTTATGTCTCATGAGTCGGTAGTTGTACATAAATGATTTTCCACATTCTCTGCACTCATAAGTCCTTTCACTAGTGTGAACTGTCTGATGTTTCATGAAATTGGCACTGTACTTAAAAAATTTCCCACATTTGTTACATTCATAAGATCTTTCTCCCGTGTGGATTTTCTGGTGCTCAACAAGTGAATATCTGTAGGTGAAGGTTTTCCCACATTCACTACATTTGTAATCTTTTTGTCCAGTCTGAAAGTATTCTCTGTCCTCTGTGTCCCTGTATGGCTTCCACTCGCTTTCAGGGGCCTGTTGCTGGAGAAGGCATGAGGTGGCTGGTAAGTCCTTCCAACCCTCCATGAATGTGAAGATCTCCTCTGCCATGTGAATTCTGTGGTTCTTCCCAAATGAAGGTATCCAATTGTCCCCTCTGGAAAGATTCTCTCCAATTTGCTGCTCTGGGCACGGAAAAAGCTCTGCCTCACAAATATATATGTCTTGCTCAGGATGAATTCCATTGTGCTCAACCAGGCACAGAGTGTCTTTCAAGGGTGGGCCACACGTCTCACTAGGGTGGATCTTCTGGGTGATCATACAGGACTTTGAAGTTGTAACCTCTGACACTCCTGCAGAAAAACCTTGCTGTGAAGGTGCCACCTCATCCTCAGCTCCATGCCAACAACCTGTCAGAATAGAAATGTTGGTGAAGTGCATGTTGACTTTGGTGGGATGAAGCAGCTCCATCACAAATGTCTCTCAGGCACACACTGGACATTAAGGCCAGTGAGAAGAGGGTCCACTATGCAGGGCTGGGCCTAGTAAGGGCCCACATAATGGGAGAGTCCTGATGATGGTAAGCATACAAGGGAGGGGTATGGAACAGAAAGAAAAGGCAGGATCTCCCACTCACTCCTCTGCAAACAGCTATCAAAAGGGCATGGTTACAGGAGACTGGTAAGCAGTGTATAGGACATTTTCTCCAAACCCAGAGATCAGACTGACAGAGAAGCTAGTGTTCAGGGATACATGCAGACCTCACACCACCTTAAATACAGGTCATGCATTGATAGGCATTCAAAGGGAGCAGTGGAAAAGAATGGGTGAGGGGTGGTGACCCCAGAAGTATAGACTGTGGGGCACTGGAGGTGCAGCGGCCAGCAAGCATACTAAAAATGATAATGAGGAAGAAAAGGTAGAAATAAGGTGTGGCCACTGGCCTTGGCAACAAACAATAGTGAGCACAGACCAGGTTCCAAGGGTGCTTTGACCCCAGCTGTGACATCAACCCTCTTCCCAAATCCCAGGCACCCAGGCCATGTCCCTGAGCCTCTAATACCATTGTTGAAGTAGTATCTACCCTCTCAGGCACCTAGGGCCCTCTCTAGGGGAAAGAAAGAGAAAAAGAGTAAAGAGCACACACCCGGAGAGATCAAGCCCATGGAAACCCCACATTGTATAATCATAAGAACTTCACAGAAGACTCCTGCCTCCTGCACAATCAACTCAGTAGTCCCTAACTTAGTGACCAGGACAGTGACTGAAATTCTAAGCAGCAGAGGAAGGCAGCAAGAAATATCAGTGAGAGAAAGGGGACAAGAGAACAGTAGTCTCATGTGTTTGGACCTGAGACAGACAAGGTTGCTGTGGTCTCTATGCCAAATTCAACATTTCTGGCTCCTGAGCCCTTTCTTGTAAGCCTCAGAGCAGTAGGGATGGGGATGCGAGGAAAAAGGGGGTATACAACACACAGCCCAGCCCTGCCTCCCACAGCATATATGCCAAGAAATTGGGAAAAGCAGCAGCACCCATGGTCTCACTGTGGGAAACACAGAGCTGCCTTTGGGTAAAAAGGGATAACCCAACCCAACCCAGGACACTGGGCAAGTGTGAGGGCCTTACCTAGTGAGGACAAAAGGGCCAAATTCTCCAGCATCACATCGCGGTACAGCAATCTCTGAGCCTCATCAAGGTGCCCCCACTCCTCCTGGGAGAAATATATGGCCACGTCCTCAAAGACCACACGGTCCTGCCAAAGTGGGAAAGATGAGTATGTGAGCAGCATCTTTTCAAGCTGTATTTACTTAAGTTCTCAATTTCCTACTTATATTTACCATCCATTAAACACAGGGCCAAAATAACAGCCAAATGTGTTTCTAATCTTCCCTACCATCCTGGGCTATATTCTAAACCATCTTTGTATCTTTCTCAAACCAAGCCAATATTTCCCGGGCTCTAAATCAACCCAGGTACTGCACGAGTAGGGACAGTCCCAGTAGCCCAGGTATCCTGGAATTACTTAAACTAGCCAAACTATCCTGTCATCCAGCCCTGCCTTGTTTCGCATGGAAACCTCAATAGTATCTGTGGGTTAAACTAAACTTTCCCCTCACTCCAATTTTCCTCCTGACCAAATCTGGCCGTTCACCATGTGGCCCTGTGTTATGTGGTGTGCACCCTCCTTAGGGAAATGTAAGGAATAAATATCTTCTGTCAGTCATTGGCCTGTCCCTGGCATCACTCACCCACATCCATAAATTAAAACCCTATGGGTATAATCACTGCTATATTTATCTCTCTCCAGGATCTCACTGCTCTCCCCTACACCTCCTTTCCTTGCTCAGTCTCCACACCCTCCTAATGTGGAAGAGACACCACATCCAGGTGGCAAGAGTGACTTTTCTCTCCACATTTCCATTGGCCACTGTGTCCAGCACACAGAGAAAACAGGTGAAGGACAAGGCAGAAAAGTGCCCTCTAGGATGTGGGCCTCCCATGGGGATATCCATCGTCTCCTGCTAGCTGGTTTCCATGGAGTCACTCAGATCTTGCCTCCCAAGACAACCAAATGCAGACTCATCCCCCTCCCTTAAGCTACCAGGGCCAGGGCCTGGGGCCATCCATTCACACTCCTCCTGCCTGCATAGCACTCTTTAGATAGGACTCCAATCACATCTCTCACTCCTACACTCCTGTAAATTCCACAGAAACCTCCCAGCCCACACCATAGGCATTTCCTTCACCTCCTAACGGGCCACTCTGCACTTGGAAACCAGATGATGCAGGGCAAATACGCCCAGTATCTAATTCACTCCCTGTCCTGCCCCAGAACACTAAAGTCCCCTAGCACCAGGGGCAGCCCAAAGCCCTGCTTTGAAGGTTTCCCCACATGGTCCTATTTCTCACTTTACTGTCAGCTGCCCAAACCATGTGAGGACTTCACATATTCTCAGCTGTCTCCTGCTTCATGGCATACTCTGTCCCATAAGCAGTCAGGAAAATCACTCTCCACCAAAACCTCATTCCAAGCCCAGCTGCCCTGATCTCCACACCTTCACTCCTGATATGGTTTGGCTCTGCGTCCCCACCCAAATCTCAGGTTGAATTGTAATCCCCATGTGTCAAGAAGAGACCTGGTATTAGGTGACTGGATCATGAGGGCGTATTTTTCCCTTGCCTTTCTCATGAAAGTAAGTTCTGACGAGATCTGGTTGTTTAAAAGTGTGAGGCTCTTCCCCCTTCATTCTCTCCCTCTCTCCTGCTCCACCATGGGAAGATGTACCTTGCTTCCCCTTCACCTTCCACCATGGGAAGATGTACCTTGCTTCCCCTTCACCTTCCACCATGGTTGTAAGTTTCCTGAGGTCTCCCAGTTATGCTTCCTGTTAAGCCTGAAGAACTGTGAGGCAACTAAATCTGTTTTCTTCATAAATTACCCAGTCTCAGGTAGTTCTTTTTTCCTTTTTTTTTTAAGATGGGGTTTAACCATGTTGGTCAGGCTGGTCTTGAACTGCCGACCTCAGGCGATCCACCTGCCTTGGCCTCAAAAGTGCTTGGATTACAGGCGTGAGCCACCATGCCCAGCCTCAGGTAGTTCTTTATAGCAGTATGGAAATGGACTAATATAACTCCCATCCTCATCTCACCGCAACTGATGCTTAGCAACTCTTCAACCTCACCCTTTTATCCCCTTCAGCAACCCTATCATGTCCACTCTGCTTCAAAAGCTTTTCTCACTTCTATACCCCATCGTCTTACACATACTCATCCCCACTAACACTACATTCCCTCATTTGTCTAGTGACTCCTCCACCACCACACAGGCACCCAGTAAGAGCCCCAGTTCTCATGCCCCATTCCAATTCTCTATCTTCTTTTTTTTTTTTTCTGACTCAGAGTTTCACTCTTGTTGCGCAGTCTGGAGTGCAGTGGCACGATATTGGCTCACTGCAACCTCTGCCTCCCAGATTCAAACAATTCTCCTACCTCAGCGTCCTGAGTAGCTGGGATTACAGGCACACACCACCACACCAGATAATTTTTGTTGTATTTTTAGTAGAGACAGGATTCCACAATGTTGGTCGGGCTGGTCTTGAGCTCCTGACCTCAGGTGATCCACCTGCCTTGGCCTCCCAAAGTGGTCGGATTATGGGCGTGAGCCACTGCGCCCAGCCCAATTCTCTATCTTTGAACAGTCATGCCACCAAAACCTAGAGATGCTGTCACCTAAACTGAATCCATGGCTTCACTGTGGTCCATATGACAGCCACCATGGTATGGACATCTCCAACCTGAACTCCTCCACCAGGAGTCTCTGAGACATCTGTGACCTGAACAAACACTGAATCCTCATACTCACTCTGAAAATTCCTTGACTTCCCCCATCTTAGACAATGGAGCATCTATGCTTCCAAACAAAAACCATGGGGCTACTCCTGATTCCCCTTCCATCCCACCTCCCCAGCTCTCTCACTCACTACATCATAAAATGTGGGCAGCTCCAATTCAAAACATTGCTACTCTTGACAAGCCATCAGCAACATCCACCTAGACTGCTGCAAGAACATCCTCTCAGACCTCCCTGCCATTACCCTCTATTCCACAGTCTGTCCTCCACTCAGAAGTCAAAGGAAGTCCCTTAAACTAGGGTCCTATCACTGCCGTCTTCTTCAAATCTTCCCCATCTACCACCTCCCTTAGGGACCCAGGACCTAGGCTGTCATTCCAGGTCTGATGTTTGGTGTGTCTCTAGCCACTACCTACTCTGTTCCCTACTCCTACCAGATATAACAGACACTTGCAGTTCCCTAAAAAGCCAGCTCAGTCTCTCCTCCAAGCATTGAAACATTCTGAATCCTGTGCCCAAGAGGCCCTAACATATCTTATCTGATCAATTCTCAAAAATGGGGACCAGTCCATGTAACCCAGTACTCAACTTATAATACTGGAACTGGTGAAACCACTCACTCTTTAGACGTAAAAGACAGGGAAAGAGATTTTGACACCTGCCAAAACCATATGGGAGGCTGGGCATGATGGCTCATGCCTGTAATCCTAGCACTTTGGGGGGCCAAGGTGGGCAGATCACCTGAGGTTGGGAGTTTGAGAAAAGCGTGACCAACATGGAGAAATCCCGTCTCTACTAAAAATACATAAGAGCCGGGCATGGTGGCACATGCCTGTAATCCCAGCTACCTGGGAAGGCTGAGGCAGGAGAATCACTTGAACCCGGAAGGTGGAGGTTGCGGTGAGCCGAGATCACGCTATTCTCCAGCCTGGGCAACAAAAGTAAAACTTTGTCTCAAAAAAAAAATTATATACACACACACACACATACACATACGAGATAACACTCGTCTTATCGAGTGGTAGGAAACACTCTACTCACATGTGCAGGGTCCATTTCTGCCAGCCAGGGGACCCTGAGGGAAGAGAAAGGCCATGAGAAATGGACAGCCATGGAAGGATCCTACAGGCTGAGATGGACCACTACCCCCTCTGCCCTGCCTGGGAGCAAACCAATCTCAATTCATTGAATAAAGTTCCTTAGGCCTCAGTGCTGCAGCTCTGTGACCATGGAAAAGAACTGACCCACCTGAGCTTCAGTGCTCCCATCTGTAAATAGATTGTAATAGCTAACCCCTTATAGGGCTCACATTGGTATCAAACATCAGTAGCACATACTACATATCAGCTACAATAGTGTAAGAATTAATGGTTTTGTATATGTTTTTAATACAAATGAAATAGTGGGGTTTTGAAATTTTCATGTATGCTTTTAGCTTAAAATTTTAGAGAATGTGATATTAAATTTTTCCATGGAAAGCAAACAGAGATAAGTTAACATCAAATCAATTATGAACCACTTTTAGAAATGACTTCAGTATGAGCTTCCTACCTGTTTGCACACACTTAGAAAGATATTGTCTAATTAGGGTTTACATCAATATCTGTTTTATACATCATTAAGTTAATGAGTTACAGAGAGGGGAGGAGTAGACAGGTCAGGTACTGGTCCCTTCTGCAACCAGGCCTGCCTGCTACATAATCTTCTGAAATGAGCTTGTCAGAAGACCTTGACTGGAGCAGTAGATCATCCCCTCTTCCCTTACATGTAGCGAAGGGGAAAAAGCAGTGCTCTGGTCTGGAACCCAGCTGCTCCACCAGCCTCAATAACATTTCTCTTGTTCAACGGAGAGTGGCCCTGAGGGTCAACCAAGTCTGCAGGTGCAGAATCGAAACCACCTCACACCTCAGCTGCCATCTCAGGCTATCTGCTTACCCAGGCCAGGCTTCCCTTTTTACAGATACAATCCAGAATTCCTGTTATGGCAGGTCTGTGCCTTTCAGAGTAGGATCTGTGGAGCCACCAATGGTCTGGTCCCCAAGTCTCAGCCCTCTGCTCTCTCACCACATAGCCCATCGGAAATGACAATCTCAAGATTTCCTTCATATTAAGTCCATCTGACTTCAAATTACACTACAAGTCTGTAGAAACCAAAACAGCATGGCAAGGGTGTAGAAATAGACACATAGGGGGTATAACACAGTGGTAGAGCATTTGACTGCAGAAACAGACACATAGATCAATGGAACAGAATAAAGATACTGGAAATAAAGTCATATGCCTACAGCCAACTGATCTTTGAGAAAGACAACAAATACCTACACTAGGGAAAGGACACTCTTTTTAATAAAAGGTACTGGGAAAACTGGATTGCCATATGAGGTAGAATGAATCTGGACCATTTAACTTGCCATATACAAAAATCAACTCAAGATGAATTAAAAATGTAAATGTAGGGCCCAAAACCAAAAATACTAAAAGAAAACCCAGGGAAACCCCTTCTGGACATTTGTCAAGGCAAAAAATTCATGCATAACCAGACTTCAAAAGCACAAACGACATAAGCAGAAGTAGACAGATAGGACCTAATTAAACTAAATAGCTTCTGCATAGCAAAAAGAATAATCAACCAAGTGAACGCACAACCTGAAAAATGGGACAAAATATTTGCAAACTATATATCTGACAGGGTACTAATAACCAGAATTTACAAAGAACTCAACAACAAACAAACAAAACATAACAAAACAATAAAATGTCATTAACAGTAAGCACAGGACATGAATAGACATTTTTCAAAAGAAGACATATAAATGGCAAACAGGCATATAAAAAATGCTCAACAGGGCCGGGCGCGGTGGCTCATGCCTATAATCCCAGCACTTTGGGAGGCCAAGGCGGGTGGATCACAAGGTCAAGAGATCGAGACCATCCTGGTCTACGTGGTAAAACCCTGTCTCTACCAAAAATACAAAAATTGGCTGGGTGTGGTGGCGCACGCCTGTAGTCCCAGCACTTTGGGAGGCCGAGGCGGGTGGATCACGAGGTCAAGAGATTGAGACCATCCTGGTCAACATGGTGAAACCCCGTCTCTACTAAAAATACAAAAAATTAGCTGGGCACGGTGGCGCGTGCCTGTAATCCCAGCTACTCAGGAGGCTGAGGCAGGAGAATTGCTTGAACCCAGGAGGTGGAGGTTGCAGTGAGCCGAGATTGCACCAGCACTCCAGCCTGGGTAACAAGAGCGAAACTCCAGCTCAAAAAAAAAAGAAAGAAAATGCTCAACATCATTAATCATCAGACAAATTCAAATTAAAACCACAGTATCTCCTTATACCGGTCAGAATGGCTATCATTAAAATGTCAAAAAATAACTGATGTTGCTCCGAATATGGGGAAAAGAAAAAGCTTACACACTTGGTGAGAATATAAATAAGTACAACCTCAATGGAAAACAGTATGAAGATTTTTCAAATAACTGAAAACGGAACTAACATTAAATCCAGCAATACCACTACTGGGCATCTAACCAAAGGAAATCATTACATAAAAAACATACATGTCTTTTTATCACAGAACTATTCACAATAGCAAAGATAGGGAATCAACCTAAGTGTCCATTAATGTATGACTACATAAAGAAAATGTGGTCTATATATACACAAGGTAGTATTCCTGGGTCACACACACACAAAAAACAAAAAACGAAACTCTGTCTTTTGCAGCAATGTAGATGGAACTGGGGGCCTTTATTAAATGAAAGAACTCAAAAACAGAAAGTCAAATACTACATGTTCTCACTTATAAATGGGAGCTAAATAATGTGAATACATGGACACAGAGTGTGGAATGACAGACATTGGAGACTCCAAACAAGTGGAAGGCTGAGAAGAAGATGAGTGATGAGAAATTATTTAATGGGTACAATGTACATTATTCAGGCGATGGATACATTAAAAACCCTGACTTCACCACTACGCAATATATCCAGATAACAAAACTGCACCTGACTCCTTAAATTTACACAAAAACAAACAACGGCAACAAAACAACAAAGAACAAAAACAGAGACCTCCCTAGTCAATCTGATCCTCAGACCATGCTCTGGCCCAGCGCACGCCCTCCATCCCTTTGATATCTCCAACCTAACCCCCTTCCTCAGACTTCACACCTTTATGACTTCCTGCCTGTGTGACATATCCATCTTGAGACATTTGAGAATCGCCATGTCCAAAATCCAACCTGTGATCTTCTCCCGGAAATCTGCTTTTTGTGCGGACTTCCCCAATTCCATCCTTTCAAACGTTCAAACAGAAAACAAAAAACAAAACCAACACTTGAAATGGTTCTTCACTGCCTTTGTCCAGACAACTGAAGCACCAGGAAAACCTACCGGCCCTATCTTTCAGGCCTGTGAAGAATCCCATCACATCTCCCTCTACTGTCACTGGTCCAGCCCCAACCATAACTTCCCTGGGTCTACTGCAATGGCCTTAGGGCCTTTTCGCCGGTCTCCCTGGGTCCCTTCTCAACCTGTTTTTCCTAACTTGAAACTTCTAACTCTGGATGTGCTCCCTCCACTGTCCCTCCCTTGACAACCTTCCATGGTTACTAGCTGCTCAGGTTGCCATTCCAAGTGAGATTTCATAAAACTTTCTTTCCCGCAGAAACAACACACACTCGCGGCGCCCCGACACAGCCCATTCGGCAGCGCCTCCATTCCCTGAACCTGAGGTCCCCGACGGGAGCTCAGACTGCATCAACCAGGCTGATACTGGGGCCCCACACAGGAACGCCCCCCTCTTCGGGACAAGGGGCCTGACCTGCAGGGCCCGCTCTGGGGGGCTTCAGCACTGGGAGGAAGAGTTGGGCAGTGGGGGCTGGGACAGGACACCCACCTCAGTCAGGTTCATCGGCAAGGCCTCCGCCAGCCCAGCCAGGAAAGAGCGGGGCGGGGGCGACAAAGGCAAGACAAGGACGCGATGTCCCCAGTCCTTGTCAGCTGAATGTCACTCCCCTCTCTGCAGGGTGGGAACCAAGCCGTTTCTCGCGCTTTTCCGCTCCGTCACTTCGGTGACGTCAGAGAGCGCCATAGGCCGTGGCTAGTGAAAACACCAGAGAGAACCAAAACGACCACCTCCAGGAGGACGGCGGAAGTCCCGCCCTCCGACAGTACGCACGCACGCACGCAAATGTCCCATTCTAAGCCTTCATTGGGTAAGTCGCGCCGCCAGGAGCTGCAGTGTTTTCTGGGTTATGAAGTTTTGACACTGCTTCCTGACTTGTCATAGAGCGTTGGTCAGTCCTTAAATGGCAGATGAAGACCCGGTGGCATTGTAAGGCGAGCTGGGAAACGGAGTCCCCGACTCCAAAGACAGGACGGGGCTTGGCTTGCTCTTAAAGGTGGCATACGGATATTTTCTTGGACTATAGTGTAGGATATTTACAGAAATGTTAGCAACTTGTTTTTTAAGACTCTATTAAGCACAGCTAATTCCAATGACTACCTGTCCAAAGAGACACACCATACCAAAAAGGCATTCTGTCTCTACTCATGCCTGTCAGCCATATTGTTGCTTTTTAAATACACATACAGTTACGCTTTTGAGTCTGTTTAGTAAGCTTCAACATATTTGGTCCAGAAGAAGAAAGGAACACTACACAGTGCTATGGACTGAAATTTGTAGGAAGGATGGCAGGAGACACTGAAGTATACTGAAAGGGTGAAGCTATATCTCTGGATCAAAGAGAAGACATCTTACCTGACTGTTAGAGTCAGTGATTGTGTTCCTACCAAGGGTGCAATGCTTTTATTCTAATAATACTTACTCATATCTGAGATATTTTCCATTTATTTGAAGAATCACAATCTTATCTGAAAATAAGAGTGACAGCCAAAATAAGTGATTGAGACATAAGTCACAGATCATGGAGATTTATTGGACCAGCCTAAGGGCACATCCAGAAAATGTAAGTCACAGAAGTGTCTGTGGCTGATTTTTTCATAGAGGTTCTTAGGAGGTTTAGTATTTATTATACATTTTCCTTAAAAATGACGAGGGGTTGGCAGTGAGACAAATGATTACATACATGTGACACTTTAGTTAGTGCCCCGTAAATCTACATTTTACATAAGATAGAGTGAACATGTGAGAGGAAAAAGGAACAGAAAAAGCAGATGTCTCAGGGAAGGATGAAGGAATAGATAATCTCATCTTCTCTTTGTTCTGTACCTTGAAAGATAAGCTAGTAGTCTTCTGAAAAGGCTGATTTCTATTTAACCCTTAAGGAAGAAAACCTAGTGATTGTAGTGAGGTACAGGATATAATGCGGTTGTGTCTGATTTCCTATTCCTATATAGTGGTGAGTTCAGCTTCCAAAGTTACTCTAGGGTTCTCATGGCCAAGAGGGCATCCATTCAGTCAGTTAGGGGGTGCTCCGAATTTTATTTTTATTTCTCAAGAGCAACTGACACATGCCATTTCCAGACAGGACACTGTCTACCATTTTCATAATTGAAGCATATACACATCTTATACTCAAGAAAAGGTGTGGAATTCCATGATGTTATCTTCTTTCTCAGAAATGATTTAAAATTGCACCTGTGTTTACAACCGTGTTTTGCACAGGGACTTGAATTATTTTCACATACTTGAAACCATTGCTTATTAACTGCTTAGAGGGATAAGTACAGATGATAAAGTGAAAGACTTGCCACAGATAAAAATGAATAGAGAAGCTGTGTGATGATGTGTATTTACTTCTCTAGTAAATGTTCAATGAGCACATATGGACTGGGTTTCAGATCAATGGTAGGTGCATGGGACACACTCGGAATAGGTTTCCCAGCTGCTATGTGTATACTGGACTGTTCTGTGTTTTCTTAGATTCTGTATTTGTCTGTTTGATATTCGTTAATCACAGGGTCAAACTAATAGAACCTAAGTTGTTTACTTTTTTCTTGCAAGTCACTTACTCAAGTGCATGAAACTCTATATAAAATCCCCATCATTCTATTATAAAGACACATGCACATGTATATTTATTGTGGCACTGTTTACAATAGCAAAGACTTGGAACCCAAATGCCCATCAATGATAGTCTGGATAAGAAAATATTGTACATATACACCATGGAATACTATGCAGCCATAAAAAGGATGAGTTCTGCTTCTGGATTCCTTAGAAGATTTTAAAAAAAGGATGAGTTCATGTCCTTTGCAGGGACATGGATGAAGCTAGAAATCATCATTCTCAGCAAACTGACACAAGAACAGAAAACCAAACACCGTATGTTCTCATTCATAAGTGGGTGTTGAACAATGAGAACACATGGACACAGGGAAGGATGAGGGGAACATCACACACCAAGGATGGGGGCGGGGGGGCTAGGGGAGGGATAGCAGGGGGTTGGGGGGATTGGGGAGGGATAACATTAGGAGAAATACCTAATGTAGATGATGTGTGGCAGGGGGATGGATGCAGCAAACCACCATGGCATGTGTATAACTATGTAACAAACCTGCACATGTACCCCAGAACTAAAAGTATAATTTAAAAAACCCCAAGCACAAACACTGAAATGTGTTTTTCCTTCCTGCCCATTGGCGATATCTACTGCATCATTCTTTGCCACTTTAGTTATAAACATATAGTCCCAGTTACTTTCTTTCCTCTTTCTGCTTTCTGGTCTCTGTTTGTAATAAGGTTTCTTGTGACTTGTGTGGTGTGCGGTGCCTCTTGGGGCAACTGTAACATTAGTCTTTTCTTTTGATGGCAGTGACCTCTCTGTGTCATTGCTAATTATGAATTAAGAGCAGGGCACAGTTCAAGAATATGACCTTGGCTTTGTAGACGCCGCTGCCGCCTGGAGCCTTATAGTATCAGCCATGGTCAACCCCACTGTGTTCTTCGACATTGCTGTTGACGGTGAGCCCTTGGGCCATGTCTCCTTCAAGCTGTTTGCAGACAAGTTTCCAAAGACAGCAGAAAACTTTCATGCTCTGAGCACTGGAGAGAAAGGATTTGGTTATAAGGGTTTCTGCTTTCACAGAATTATTCCAGCGTTTATGTGTCAAGGTGGTGACATCACATGCCATAGTAGCACTGGTGGCAAGTCCATCTATGGGGAGAAATTTGATGATGAGAACTTCATCCTAAAGCATACAGGTCCCGACATCTTGTCCATGGCAAATGCTGGACCCAACACAAACAGTTCCCAGTTTTTCATTTGCACTGCCAAGACTGAGTGGTTGGATGGCAAGCATGTGGTCTTTGGCAAGGTGAAAGAAGGCATGAATATTGTGGAGGCCATGAAGCATTTGGGTCCAGGAATGGCAAGACCAGCAAGAAGATCACCATTGCTGACTGTGGACAGCTCTAATAAGTTTGGCTTGTGTTTTTATCTTAACCACCAGACCATTCCTTCTGTAGCTCAGGAGAGCACCCCTCCATCCCATTTGCTCACAATATCCTAGAATCTGTGCTCTCACTGCAGTTCCCTTTGGGTTCCGTGATTTCCTCGTTCCCTTCCATGCCTAGCTGGATTGCAGAGTTAAGCTTATTATGATTATGAAATAAAGACTAAATAACAACAACAAAAAAGGATATGACCTGTATTTAATGATTTTTCCTGAATCTTGTATTGACTTATCAGAATGGCTTACATATCCTACATATCAGCTGGTTGTAATACATTATAAAGAATCACCAGTGGGAGATACATTTTTCTCAGACTGTAACTGGTCATTAAATTACTTATTGGCAACACTAGTTGAAAACCATATCCTCACAAACAAATATGTAGGTAATACTTATGATGTCTTAGTCCAATTAGTATTGCTATACATGAATACCTGAAGCTCGGTAATTTAGAAAGAAAAAAGTGTTTATTTGGCTCAAAATTTTGATGTCTGGAAAGTTTAAAATTGGGCATCTGCCTCTGTGAGGGTCTTCAGCAGCTTCTATTCATGGTGGAAAACAAAAGAGTTGTTAATGGCAAGACCAGCAAGAGAGGTATTGACTAGAAATCATATTGCAAGAGAGGAGGATAGTGGGTGGGGAGAGTTTCAGTCTCCTCTTAACAACCAGCTTTCTTGGGAACTAACAGTGAGAATTCACCCATCCTCAAGTGGGAGTATTATTGATGTAGGATCTACCCCCATGACTGAAACACCTCCCATTAGGCCCCACCTCAAACAATGGAAATTAAATTTCAAGATGAGGTTTGGAAGAGACAAACATCCAAACTATTGCATATGATTTCTTACAAATTCTGGCTGTTGAGAAACCAAAAATGGGGAATGAGAATTAAGTTGCTGGGTTTTTTATGTTCAAGTAAGGAAAAAATTTCTCTCTGCCCCAAATACATAGTCATGAACAAGAAACCACCATTAATTAGAGATAACTTGGGATGAGTACCTATGTTTTAAAAGTCAGCTAGTCAGCAATAGCTTCACCCTAGTAATTAACCTGAAACTTAGCAAATCATTGTTAGGCCAAGCTTATAAAATTCTTCCAATGGGAGTAAGGCCCAGTACTAAAGACAGCCAATCAGTGGCAGCCCCAGGTTGCTAGACAACAATTAATCAGCAAGTGCCTCCTGTGAGTAATCCTGTTTATTAAAGCCAACTGGTAAATAGTTGACAGTTAAACTAACACGCCTGAATGTCCATCAATCTCTCAATTCTGCTGCTTCTGAAAATCCTCAATCCCTGAAGTCCAGACTTCCTAAACGCTCATATAATAGGATGGTGGGGTGGCTAACGCCTGTAATCCCAGCACTCTGGGATGCCAAGGCAGGCGGATCATGGGGTCAGGAGTTCGTACACCAGCCTGACCGACATGGTGAAACCCCTTCTCTACTAAAAACACAAAATTAGCCAGGCATGGTGGCCCATGCCTGTCAATCCCAGCTACTTGGGAGGCTGAGGCAGGAGAATCACTTGAACCTGGAAAGTGGAGGTTGCAGTGAACCAAGATCGCACTACTGCACTCCAGCCAGGGTGACAGAATGAGACTCCGTCTCAAAAAAAAAAGCTCATATAACATCAGCTTTGGCTTTATTTGAGGAGAGTGACAACTACAGCTCTGCCCTGCAAACAAAGATGAACATCACTTTTTTCCCTTAAGATATCAAAATCAATTTATTCTTAATTGAATATAAATTTT